GCTTATAATCCCAGCACTTTGGGATGCTTGAGGCAGGCGGATTGCCTGAGCTCAGGAGACCAGCCTGGGCAAAACGGTGGAACACTGTCTCTACTAAAATACAAAAAATTAGCCGGGCGTGGCGGCGTGTGCCTGTAGTCCCAGCTGCTCGGGTGCCTGAGTCAGGAGAATTACTTGAACCTGGGAGGCAGAGGTTGCAGTGAGCCAAGATCGCACCACTGCACTCCAGCCTGGGCGACAAGAGTAAGACTCCATTTCCAAAAAAAAAAGGAAAAAGAAAATGGTACAGTCTTTGGTCCTCATTACTATGTGTTAAGTAAAGCATTTCTCATTCTTTTATTAAAAAAAAATTATGTATTATTTCTTTTGTGTTATGAAAAAATAAATATTCAGAAAGCAGCTATATCAGTGTCAGAATAATTTCAGAAGAAAATGTATAAAGCCATGTAAGATTCTGTTTTTGGGGAACAGATTATTCCGTCTTGCTAAGGTTAGGGCAGGTCTTTTTTAGAACACTTAATGGGTATCTGCTATCAAAGCTAAGTCTGTTTGTTTGTTTGTTTGTTTTTGAGATGGAGTCTCCTCGCTCTGTCGCCCAGGCTGGAGTGCAGTGGTGTGATCTCGGCTCACTGAAAGCTCTGCCTCCCGGGTTCATGCCATTCTCCTGCCTCAGCCTCCTGGTAGCTGGGACTACAGGCGCCCGCCACCACGCCCGGCTAATTTTTTGTATTTTTAGTAGAGACAGTGTTTCTCCATGTTGGCCAGACTGCTCTCAAACTCCTGACCTCAAGCAATCCGCCCGCCTCAGCCTCCCAAAGTGCTGGGATTACAGGCGTGAGTCACCGTGCCCAGCCAAAGCTAAGTCTATTATGTGGGTTTAGATATAACCCCATGACTGTGGGCTGGGCGAGGTGGTTCACGCATGTAATCCCAGCACTTGGGAGGCCGAGGAGGGCAGATCATGAGGTCAGGAAATCGAGACCATCCTGGCTAACAGTGAAACCCTGTCTCCACCAAAAATACGAAACAAAACAAAACAAAACAAAAAAACGTGCCTGTAGTCCCAGCTACTTGGGAGGCTGAGGCAGGAGAATTGCCTGAACCTGGGAGGCGGAGGTTCCAGTGAGCCGAGATCACCCCACTGCACTCCAGCCTAGGTGATAGAGCAAAACTCCATCTCAAAAAAAAAAAAAGAAGATTTGGCTCTGAAATTAGGTTAAAAATGTTTTTATTGGTTTCATCAGGCAAGAAAGCAAGAAACTTGGGTTTTTAGAGAAGGAAAACTATGGTAGGAAACTGGTGACCAGCTCTTCTTTTTTCTCCATAGCTGTGGACCAAATAGCTTTCCAAAAGAAGCTCTTTCAGACCCTGAGGAGACACCCTTCCTATCCCAAAGTATGTATTTTTCCCCTGGTATTTTTGCTAGAATTTGGAATTTAAGGACACTGGTATAAAGTTGAGTGGGCTAAAATGATTTTTAACAGCAAATATTAAACTAAATATTTTATTCTTTTTATTTTTTAAATCTCCTTAAGATAATAGAAGAATTTGTTAGTGGCCTGGAGTCTTACATTGAGGATGAAGACAGTTTCAAGAACTGCCTTTTGTCTTGTGAGCGTCTGCAGGATGAGGAAGCCAGGTGTGGAGAGAAGGCGTGGAATCTTGCTGAAATTCAGTCTGTTCTGCTAATCGCAGGGGACTGGGGAGGGATAGCACAATTGTTTGAAATTTCATTTTTGGTGTAGGCTGTCTTCCTCAGAATTTAAACTAAGTTTAAAATTCCTAAGCTTGTGGTTATGAGCCTAACAATCAGTGTTTTCTAGAATGTGTTTCACCTGTGTTGACAGAATTTCAAATCTCTACCGCTCCCTTGCAAAGAGCCATCTGCTTATTTCTGTGTTTCTTGTCTAACAGGGTAGTTCCTCTTTAAAGATTATGTATTTAACCAATTTTATTGAGAAAAAATGATAAAAGCGTTAAAACAAGGAAAGCAAAGTGGAAAACACATTTCTTTTTTTTTTACAGTATGGGTGCATCTTATTCTAAGAGTCTTATCAAACTGCTTCTGGGGATTGACATACTACAGGTAAGACTGTCACTTTTTCTATGAACATTTGATGGATGAGGTTTGTGGTGTATGCTCAAGTCTAAATAGCAGGAACACAGGATAGAGTAGGGTTAATTGGAGAATTTGGGTTTGTAACAGCTTTAGCACAGCACTGTTGCTGTGATGGGTTTGGTAATGTAATACTGTGTTTTAAAACTGTGCTTATTAGCCTAATACATCTGGCGGTCCTATTCTCTCTGTATCTGATTCCTGTTCTTAAAGCTACATCCTGTGTATCTGAGTACCTGGTAATCTTTTTTTTTTTTTTTTTGAGATGGAGTCTCACTCTGTTGTCCAGGCTGGAGTGCAGTGGCACGATCTTGGCTCACTTCAAGCTCCACCTCCTGGGTTCACGCCATTCTTCTGCCTCAGCCTCTCGAGTTGCTGGGACTACAGGCGCCCACCACCGCGCCCGGCTAAGTTTTTGTATTTTTAGTAGAGATGGAGTTTCATCGTGGTCTCGATCTCCTGACCTCATGATCCGCCCTCCTTGGCTTCCCAAAGTGCTGGGATTATAGGCATGAGCCACCGCGCCCAGCCAGTATCTTGTAATCTTTATCATATTTGTATCTCCATCATCTCCATTTGGCTTTTTAGATGCTTATGTATCTTAATTTTGTCCTTTTCCTCCTCTTCTTCTCCTTTAATATATTAAATAGACAATACATTGATATAATTTAAATATTTCAAATTATACAAATGTATATGGAACAGAACACTTCCCTCCACCCCGTTCTCCATTTTTCCTCTTCTCCCCTACTGTTAATCTTTTCACACTCTTAAACTCTTCCTTTTCACTGGAAATGTTGAAGGTAATTAGTTATTTTCAGTCTAAGAGCTCCCTTGTTCCTCTGGAGAGCTCCCGTTGCAACCTATTTGATAATCTTTTAAAGTCTGCATTTTGTGGATTAACTGTCATTGTTTTTAATAATATTTTGATTATCTGATTATTTTAACTTTGTCTTGATAATCATTTTCAGTTTTTCACAAGACAAATTAAATCTTTGTATTCCAATAGCATATTCTAAAAATGAAGACATATTCATGTGGATATCTTTGTAATAAGATATCAACTTTAACAAAGTGTTTATTCCAGGAGCTCTGGTTGGAAAGAGAATTATGCATTTCTTTTGTATGTGTGTGTTTGTGTGTGTCAGAGTCTCCTCTGTCACCCAGGCTGGAGTGGAGTGGTGCAATCTCGTCTCACTGCAACCTCTGCCTCCCGCAGGTTCAAGCGATTCTCGTGCCTCAGCCTCCCAAGTAGCTGGGATTATACATTTCTATTGTGTATTTTGAGATGATCTCCTAACTCCCTATGTCTTCTTTTTTAGCCTGCCATTATCAAAACCTTATTTGAGAAGTTGCCAGAATATTTTTTTGAAAAGTAAGTGGAGTTATGGAATGTTCGAAGTACCCCGGTGTTACTTAAGTTTCTCTCTGAAAAGGTTACTCTGAAAACTCTTGGTTTCTCTGAAAGTCATATTTATCATGATGCTTCTTAAGTGACTACTAAAATTTTACTGGAGTGTCTTTGAAGTTTCATCTATTAATATGATTTTGTAAAAATAGATAGGATTATGATAAAAGTAACTATTGGCCTGGTGCGGTGGCTCACACCGGTAATCCCAACAGTTTGGGAAGCCGAGGCAGGAGGATTGCTTGAGTCCAGGAATTCAAGACCAGCCTGGGCAATGTAGTGAGACCTTGTCTGTATTTAAAAACAGATTTTTTTTTTTTTTTAAGTGTCTGTTGCTTATGCTCAGGGATAGTCCCTAGTAGAAGGATACACAATATACTGGTAACAGTAGTTGTTTCCAAAGAGGGTAGCCAGTTGGTTGGAATCAGGTATTCTCTGAATACTTTTCTTTACCTTTTTAATTTTGTAGTGTATGTTGAGACAGGGTCTCACTCTGTCGCCCAGGCTGGAGTGCCGTAGTACGATCACGGCTCACTGAGGCCTCCACCTCCCAGGCTTAAGTGATCCTCCCACCTCAGCCCCATGAGTGCCTGGGACTACAGGTGCGCGCCACCCTGTCTGGCTAATTTTCATGTTTTTTTGGTAGAGATGGGGTTTCGCCATGTTGCCCAGGCTGGTCTCAAAACTTCTAGGCTCAAGTCATCAACTTGCCTGAGCCTCTCCAACTACTGGAATGTGGCCCTACCTGTTTTTTTTAATTACTATGTTAAAAAAGAAATGAATGGCCTAATAGAAAAGTAGACAAAGGTTGTGAACAGACAGTTTACAAAGAAGAAATGCAAGAACATCGAATATTTAAAAAATTCCATTTTGTTAGCAAAGTCACAAATTTAAAACACTATATCAAAATAGTAAATGACTATTAAGCAGTAAAAGGCATTTTTTCCTACTCTCAAAGGGTCTCCTTGTTGAGTGTAGTGAATAGGCATGCTCGTGCATTGCTAGTGAGCATATAAATTAGTTCAGGCATTGAGTCTGAAGAGCAATAGATTGTATGTGTCAAAAACCTTAGATTTTGCATACCCTTTAGTCCTAATGTCATGTCTCCTCATTTATCCTAGGATAATAACTGTGAATGAAAATGAAATAGTATTGGCCGGGCGTGGTGGCTCATGCCTGTAATCCCAGCACTTTGGGAGGCCACGGCGGGCGGATCACAAGGTCGGGAGTTCGAGACCAGCCTGGCCAATATGGTGAAACCCCGTCTCTACTAAAAATACAAAAAAAAATTAGTCGGGAGTGGTGGCGGATGCCTGTAGTCCCAGCTACTCGGGAGGCTGAGGCAGGAGAATCGCTTGAACCCGGGAGGCGGAGGTTGTAGTGAGCCGAGATCGGGCCACTGCACTCCAGCCTGGGAGACAGAGCGAGACTCCGTCTCAAAAAAAAAAAAAAAAGAAAATGAAATATATTAGTTTAGTGCTTGCTTTGGCAGTACATGTACTGAAATTGAACAATACAGAGATTAGCATGGCCTCTTTGCAAAGGTGATACCCAAATTTGTGAAGTGTTCCATATATTGAAAAAGATTACTCTTTAAAATAAATGTGAATAATTGAGATGTTCAAAAAATAGGAATATTATGTGCACATTAATAACTGTAAAAAGAACTAGTTAATATCATATGTTAATTGAAAAAAATAAAACCAGGTTACACATAGCATTTATATTAGGTTGGTGCAAAAGTAATTGCGGTTTTTGCAATAAATAGTGCAGTCCAGTATTTTGTTTAAAAAAGAAGATACGTATACATATGCATGTTACTAGTGTACATTTCTGGAATGACAGGATTATAGTCATTTTTATGTTCTCCTTTTTAATTTTTTCAGAGTCCTGATACAGTAATAAGTTTAAAGGTTTATTTATTTTGAGACAGAGTCTCACTCTGTCGCCAGGCTGGAGTACAGTGGCGTGATCTTGCTCACTACAACCTCTGCCTCCTGGGTTCAAGTGATTCTCCTGCCTCAGCCCCCCGAATAGCTGGGATTACAGGTGTGCACCACCATACCCAGCTAATTTTTGATATTTTTAGTAGATACAGGTTTTCACCATGTTGGCCAGGCTGTCCTTGAACTCCTGACCTCAAGTGATCTGCCTGCCTCAGCCCCACAAAGTGCTGGGATTACAGGAGTGGGCCACTGCACCCACTGAAGGTTTTTCTAATTTGTTTCAGCTAAATGTCTCATGCTGGATGCCTTACATCCTGGCTTATCTTTTTCAGTTAAGACTGGCTGCAATAACAAGGACCATGCTGTCAAGGAGATGGAAGTGGTCCAAAACTTTAGATATAGGAGGCTTGAAGGAAGGCGGAAACTATCATTTTTGGAAAAATGATAATTGAGCCAACATTTCTTTATTTATAAATGGTTTTTAGTACTTTTATGAATATAATCTAATTTGACTTTCTGTGTTCCCTTAGCAATATATGCTTGTCTTTTTTTTTTTTTTCTCGAGACAGAGTCTTGGCTCTGTCACCCAGGCTGGAGTGCAGTGGCACGATCTCAGCTCACTGCAACCTCTGCTTCCTGGGTTCAAGTGATTCTCCTGCCTCAGCCTCCCGAGTAGCTGGGATTACAGGTACCCACCATCATGCCCAGCTGATTTTTGTATTTTTAGTAGAGACGGGGTTTCACCATGTTGGCCAGGCTGGTCTTGAACTCCTGGCCTCATGTGATCTGCCCACCTTGGCCTCCCAAAGGGTTGAGATTACAGGCATGAGCCACCACACCCAACTTATGCTTGCCTTTTTAAGCACTTACTGCGTTGATGTTATTAGTGTCTTTTAAAAATATTTGTCATATTTGGTTTTTAAGATTTATTAACATTATCTTTTTAAAAATTATTATTAAGAGATGCTGTCTAGCCCTGTCATCCCTTTTCTCTAAAACCGCCCTGGATGTAGCCACTGTTCATATTTAGCATACTTTCTAGACATTTTTCTCAACATACATAAGCATATATCTCCTGCATATTGGGTATCACTTGTGTGTCTAGTACAGTGCCAAATGCATAGTAGGTATTCAGTAAATGTTAATGGAATGGCTAATATATTTTGTGCAGTATTAATGCTTGCTGTTATTTTGGCCAGGAAGGCTAAGTTCCCTGTCTTCTCTTCCTAATATTTTAGCAAGAACAGTGATGAAATCAACATACCTCGACTCATTGTCAGTCAACTAAAGTGGCTTGACAGAGTTGTGGATGGCAAGGTAGGCTTACGGACTTTATCTCTTGAATTTAAAGAGTGTGTTTCTCATATCTTTTGGAAGTTGTATTTTTTTTTTCTCTTTCTAAACAGAAAATTCATACTTTTCCATCCATCCATTAGCTTTTTCTGATTTTCATCATTTGAGAATCATAGATATTTCACCTTTTAATTTCATCAGAAAAGTTTAAATACGAAGAGTAGGTATCATTTATTAAATAAATTAAATATTTGGGAAGATTCTTTTTCGAAGTACAGAGATAAATAACTATGTTTGTCTCTCAAATAATTTCAGCTCTGCATTTCACAGGTAGGTAGTGTTTCTTTATTCTGGGTAATGTGCTGCAGTTCTAATAGTGTCCTCTACTGCAGGACCTCACCGCCAAGATCATGCAGCTGATCAGTATTGCTCCAGAGAATCTGCAGCATGACATCATCACCAGCCTACCTGAGATCCTAGGGGATTCCCAGCACACTGATGTGGGGAAAGAACTCAGGTGGATAAGCACTCTGTCACCATCTAAGTGAGGCTCGACTGTGGGGGCTTTATCATTGCAGTATTCAAAACGCAGTAGTAATGTGGTCTCTTATATCTAAAAAGAAGATGATACCCACCTTCATGAGTAGGGTATGGGATTTGACTTTTAAAAAAAAAAGTATATATTTGAATAGGTCCACGTACTTTCTTCTTGTTTTAAGACAGAGTCTTGCTTTGTCACCCAGGCTGGAGTGCAGTGGTGCGATCTCAGCTCATTGCAACCTCCACCTCCTGGGTTCACGCTATTCTCCTGCCTCAGCCTCCCGAGTAGCTGGGACTACAGGCGCCTGCCACCACGCCCGGCTAATTTTTTTGTATTTTTAGTAGAGACGAGGTTTCACCATGTTAGCCTGGATAGTCTCAATATCCTAACCTTGTGATCCACCTGCCTCAGCCTCCCAAAGTGCTGGGATTACAAGTGTGAGCCACCGTGCCCGGCCCCACATACTTTCTTTTAAATGGTATACCTGTTATGAGCGTGAATTCTGGCTTAGGATTAGGTATCTAAATTTGGCCAATGGAGAAGTTGACCATGATCCCTTAGTTTCATTAACATGTTCTTCAGGACGTCCTTAACCCTGACTGCACATTAAAATCATTTGTGGAGCCTATTAAATATCTACCTTCTTTGGGTTCCTAGGTGATTCATTCTAATGCACAACCTTGCATCAGACCCCTTGCAGAGACCCATTGCTTGCTGTCATTCATTTGAAAAATAGTAATTGGTAGGGCAGTATTGAAGAAGGGGTGAACAAGATCCCTAGGAATAAAGTTTCCATCATAATGCAACTTTTTATTGTACTAGAAGCGTTTTTTAAAAATTCAGTTTGTGATACTTCCTTTTGTGTAGTTGTGTGCACAGCTACCTCCAAAACAGGCAATGATTTCTTGCCTTTGTCCTTTTGGGCAGGATGCTCCCTATGGGCGAAGCACTATGCCACCCACTTTACCTGCCTGATGCCAGCTCATCTCCTTTTGTATAGTCTTCTTTTAGCGTCTATCACTGTGACTCATGCCTTTAATCCCAGCATGTTGGGCCGCTGAGGTGGGTGGGTCGCTTGAGCCCAGGAGTTCAAGACCAGCTTGGGCAAAAAGCTGTCTCTCCAAAAAATACAAAAATTAGCTGGGTGTGGTGGTACGACCTATAATTCTAGCTACTCAGGAGGCTGAGATGGGAGGATCAATTGAGAATGGAAGGTCGAAGCTACAGTGAACTGTGATCACGCCACTGTACTCAAGCCTGGGCATCAGAGTAAGACCCTGTCTCAAAAAGCAAAAAAAAAAAAAAAAATCTATTACTGTCCTCACTACGTTGTGCTCCTGTAGCACCATGCACATGTGTCTCTCATACTTATCACATTTCATTGTAAATGTTTTGTGTTTTCTTTTTCCTTTTTGTGGGGAAGGATATGTACCAAACTAAATAGTGGTGTTCTCTAGGTAGTGGGGATTGTGATGGAAGGCTTGTTTCTACTTTTATTATTTGAATTTTTATAATGAGCATGTATTATTTTTTGCAGTCAAAACAATTTTTAAAGAAACATACTATAAATGGTAATTTAATGGCAACTAAGTATGTCCTTTCTTTCCATACTGTAATGAATGATTTTCTCAAGTCATTGTCTGCCCAGCTCTGTTCAAACCATTACACAACTTTTTTGTTTTTCTACCATTCACAGTGACCTACTGATAGAGAATACTTCACTCACTGTCCCAATTTTGGATGTCCTTTCCAGCCTCAGACTTGATCCAAACTTCCTGTTGAAGGTAGGAAAGACTCAGCTTTCCAGAAACTGAGCCAGCTTTCCAACCTCCCGGAACAAGTGTTACTCAGTCATTGCCTTGGGAGTAATGAATATATCATTTTGAAACCATAGTGAATCACATTTGATATTTTTTTTTCCCCACCTCAATGAGTTTCAGATGCTATTCTGTGATAGAATCACAGGTCTGTTGTTTTTTTTGTTTTTGTTTTTGTTTTGTTTGTTTTTGAGACGGAGTCTTGCTCTGTCGCCCAGGCTGGAGTGCAGTGGCGTGATCTCTGCTCACTGCAACCTCTGCCTCCCAGTTTCAAGCAGTTCCCTGACTCGGCCTCCCGAGTAGCTGGGATTATAGGCGCCTGCCACCACGCCCGGCTAATTTTTGTAATTTTAGTAGAGACTGGGTTTCACCATATTGTCCAGGCTGGTCTTGAACTCTGGACCTTGTTTTCCACCCACCTCGGCCTCCCGAAGTGCTGGGATTACAGGCTTGAGCCACTGCGCCGGCCCACAGGTCTGTTTTTAAGCAGTAAGTTTTGAGTGGAAATCTGTATTGTCTGAATCATACCTGCTTCCCATAGGAATAATACTTTTTATGCCTTACTGTAGCCAGTTGAGAATTTAGGCTCTGAACGTAAGATAATAGCTCTGTTTCACATTTATTGCCCATCTGTTTTTGACGAAGCTGTGGTATTAACAACTAAAAGATTCTAATTTGGGGAAAAATCTAAAATTTTTTTCCCCCTAAATTATAAGTGGGAAAATGGAGTAAGAGAAGTGATTTTTTTCTAATGTTACCTAACAGTTCAGTACAAAGTTGATGTAGTGACATTAAAACTTACTAAGTTTTTGTGCTTTTAATTTTTAGGTTCGCCAGTTGGTGATGGATAAGCTGTCATCTATTAGATTGGAGGATTTACCTGTGATAATAAAGTTCATTCTTCATTCCATAACAGCCATGGATGCACTTGAGGTATGCTCTTATATCCCATCACACCTAGATAAAGCAACTTAAGTTAATA